TCTTGCTCCTATATACGGAATGCCCATTATTTCTGAAGTTACGCAGATACACATTTCTATATTACTTGTATCTTGTTTTGATTAGTTTACAAATTACCTGAATAATTTAAACGCTACAGATTATCACCCCTACTCGAGGAAACACCGCGTTAGCAGTTTGGAATGAATTCCATTTGTAAAATTGGTTTATGGAATGATGAAGATTTAACGACCAATCTACACAGAAAGGTCATAAAGGGTCAAACTGTTATAAGACGAGTTATCAGGTGATTGGAGATACAGGAAGGATAAATTTAGTCGAACAAAAAGAAGCAAAAGCGCTCTTATAATGTCCTGATATCAACAAAAAAGTAAGAGTAGCAATTATGCTTAATTTGAGTTTTGTAAATGACCGTAGTCAGATGTTTTACAGTTAGAGTAGTTTACCTGCGTATTTTATTGGTTTTGATATGTTAAATTTCGAATGTTGAACAAGTTACACCGGTTGCTCTTATGTTATAAACTCGTTACTCCTTAGCATCTCGCCGACGCTCTGACATGAACCTGACAGCGCCATCAGCTCCTAAAGGTCAAATGTTATTACTTGTAATTCAGCAACACCCCCGACTCAATGTCGATTCAATAACAGTCTCAAATTGGTACTAACTCGTTCATCTTTGAGGTGTCTCCTGATGCGGATTCATTTGTGATAGATATAGTGCTCTATTTATCACGAAACAAACGATCCATTCGGGAGACATACATTTATCAGGTGATCAATTTGACATCTAATACGTGACGTTGATGGCTAGCTGAAACCGCATTCAAGTCAATTGACTTGTTACATGTTCTGCAAAATGCCCCTTTTTTAAGCAAACGTAACTCTCTTTAAAACGCTCTCGTTGTTAACTATAGATGGATTCTTCATTACCAATTCATGCAATTTATGTAAATGAAAGTTTTATATTTATGAATTAAATGTTCAAAATAACACCAATATGCATCCATTTACTGGTGTTAGCAATATCATGGTACTATACTTCTACTAGCAGTAAAAAGGAAATATCAGCAAAACTGTGAGATAACTATAATTAGGCTTTAGATAAGAGACAAAGATTTCAAATGTTTTAAGAAAAGACATGTGAAAACAAACAGTAAAATCTTGGCTACCCGAAATTTTCACTTTAAACAAAAGGGTTCACTTTAAATTTGTTATAAATTTGTTCCCACTTATCACTACTTGCATGAGTTAAAGTACAATTTACCAGCTTGGTTTGAGCGTTTGTAGCCCTATGTTACTTTTATCATCCCAATGCGTCTAATATAACAACGTTGATAGCCAGAGTACCTTGTAAGCTACTAGAATGTGCGTTACAATAGTTAGATATACATATAACCAAAACATCAAACACAACATGCGGATTTTTCAGCAGCAGCCATATCAGGTGTATTGCAGTTCTATCTCACTTGAATATTGCAGCACATATACTGTGGTACCAACCCATGCCATTTTATAATCCACCAGCGTTATTCGGAACATACAGACCTTTCTGTGACAAATTATGCTTCGGCGACTTAGGGAGCTGAACGCGAAGTTTAAACCAGTAGATCCGCTGATATCTATTGCAGAACAAGACTTCCAGAACATTCCAGAAACATTTGTACTACAACGCTAGGTTGCTGTGATAGATTTGATAAAATGCTGAGATGTTTTGTGTCATCTATCTCTGTGAGATCTATAACACAGTGATACGTTGTTTTGATATACATTTTTGTTGATTGTTTATATAATACAATGAAGTCAGTTGTGATGTATGTATTAAGATGATATTAATCAGTGAAATATACAGTACAAGAAAAGTTTCCTTGGATTTGTTTGTGATCGTTGTATTGGCTACACATTGTACAGCATTACCTTGGTTACGAGGGAGGGAGGTGGCGGTCGTGTTAAATTACGTATATACAGACAAGTAGATTCCTCCCCTGTGTTTCAGTACGGCCGGATGCTGGCTCCTTATCAGACACAATCTCATAAATTTGCCCATTTAAATTTAATTAAATCAGCGATATCTTAATTATATTGATTTTTTTTATTGGAAATCAGCATACATTTGAACCCTTATATCTCTGTGTGAGGATTGCGCTTGTTGTGTGGTGACCAAAGGTGAAATCCACATATTGTTACGATATTTACATTATGTATATACGATCCATTGAATAAGGCAATCCGGATATACTGTATACGACCGTAGCAAAGTCGATGTCACATCAAAGCAGGAATTTGTAATGCCAGCTTCTTTGAACAAGATATCGTTAGGACATAGGCTTTTAGTTGCAGCTTTAATCTGATCAAACAGACCAATACCTGGTATGCATGGATTCGCGAAATATCAATTACTGAATTCCGTGAGATGGCGCCCGACATATCACAATGACTCTAACTGAGACTCTCCGACGTCGAACGTCCTACATAAAGCATTGTACGGGTCCGTTGGGTTATGTTTTATGCAAGCGGCTTATACACGGTGCTTAATTTCTTCTAATGACGGTGTGTAGGACATGTCCCTTTCAAAGAGATCTTTACTGTTATCAATCACAGGTGTGTAACACCTTCTAAACATCAATACGATATTAATTGTCAATCGCTACACAACTCATTCCGCCTTATCAACAGAAAAGGAGAAATAAAAAATTTGAATATTAAGACAATTTCAGGAACCGTGATGAACACAAGTGGATAGAACAAAAGGGAAGCCCCATACATGAGGCCGGAAATTACTTTTAGATTGGCTTGATCAAATTTCTAGAGAGTAAAATATAAAGGTGATTTTTGTCATGTGGCTAGTTCTAAGGTTTTCATATCATGATTTAGCAAATGACATTCCAGATTCCTTCCTTTTTAAGTCTGCATACCAACGTGTAAACAATCTTAAACTGATCTAAAATAAAAAGATGAAACTAAGGCAGAAAATGAACAGGTTTTTTTTAATGGAGAACATCCGGAACGATGCTAAATCGACGACACCTGCCGTATATAGTTACCTACGGATACATGGAGCGCGTTAGAATTAAAACAACAGCTGTATAATTAGACAAAATGACATGACATAAAACATTGCTTTATAATGTGAGATCTCATTAACCTTGGTATTTCTTAACTACAGCAACAGAGCGCGCGATCCTCCAAAATTTTAATTTTCTTTAGTGCTACAATTAATTTTATCAAAACGCTTCTTTTTGAAAATTTGTAATATCATTGAAACATCTTTTTAATTATATATTTTTTTTCAATGAAAATGAAGTTTCACTGGCTGTGAACTCAAAATAATACCCAATGTTTTGTTTGGTTGATCTGACTTATAAAGCCGTGTTTCTTAAATATATGTACGTATTGAGTTTCTATGAATGAGAAATCAGGTTGATGAGTATCTGTAAGTAATGATTTAACACTGCGACCTGTGTTACATCCAGACTCATATCCTGACACCTTTATGAATAGCCATATAAAGTGCCGGAACACGGCATGGGGTAACAATTATCATGGCCACCGAGAACAACAAGGAACGCGTTCATTTCACCATTGTCCGTTGGTCCATTAATCTTATCACTGGGTAACTGTGGGTCATAGTGAGACTAAGGTAGACATGGATTTTTCCACTCCAGTATTTGTTTCCGAATGTCATTTTATTGTGTGAAATGATTCCCTTTTGTTTTGTTTCTTAAGTACATTATAAATACAATAATTCAAAGTTACCGGATTAGCATATTATCGGAGATAAAAATGCATCAGTTGTGTATGAAATGAAAGGCGTTACTGTCCATTTTAGCAGTGACTTTATTACGATAGATAATTTGGGGTAATAAACAACAAGTACTGTTTTTCATGGATGTGGCTTTTCTAATCACGACAGCCTACATTTACCGACACATATAATGAACACAGTTTGCACTCAACTCACTGTTAACGTCTCTATATTGAATTGGTATCAACCAAATGTTTAATTGAAATCACAAAAAATATTGTCTTAATAACATGAACGGTTTGGATGATTATATATTTCCTATGGATTATTTCGTCCAAGTATACTTCAATGGTGATAGAGTGGGAAACATATGAATTAAAAAGGAAACGCCGGCTTTCGTTTATTTAAAAACCGTTATAACAAAAAAAAGAAAAAAAGTTTTACATGTGAAAATGGAAATGAAGCCATTAGCGTAGAAATTATTGGCATGTAGCTAGTTGAACTGGAAGCCTGAAGTTGGTTCCTAATTCCTAGTTCCTAGTTCCGTTAAAGATAAACGGAACTAGGAACGAGACCCTAGTTCCGTTTAACATAAACGGAACTGGGAACCAGACCCTAGTTCCGTTTAACATAAACGGAACTGGGAACCTGTACTGTACTGGATTCAGATATAAATTCGCTCCTTTGACCTTTCGTTTTACGAAGTAGACAGGGAAAGAATTACAAAAAAACATATACGTTTACTTTACGGAACTGGGGTCTGGTTCCCAGTTCCGTTTAAGGAAAAACGTAACTGGAGTCTGACACTCAGTTCCGTATAGGACCAATTACTTTATAGAGGCTATGGTAGTCTTATTTTTCGTGTGAAAGGTTGTGGGTTCGATTCCTGTACTGGATTCAGATTTGAGTTCCCAGTCGATTATAAGAGGCTGGCTATGATGTTTTTTTCTGAAACAGACCTAGTATTTTGGTCGAAGTTCCATTGGACGCGTTATTTCGATTTTAAACGGAACTAGGGTCTGGTTCCCAGTTCCGTTTGTGTTAAACGGAACTAGGAACTAGGAACTAGGAACCAACTTCAGGCTCCCAGTTCAACTTGTGTCAACTATCTGATAAATAGAAAAAAGAAATCATAATTTCAATTCTTAACTGCATATTTTCTACAACTTGGAAAATTGAAGAGTTTTTTGTTGTATATACAAAAGTGTTTTACGTTACAAATGTATTATAGTAGTAGATCCTATACAATGATAAAGACACTGACTAGAAGGCCCGTACCTTGTACTCGGGTGGTTGCTGTTAGCCACTGTGAGAAGATCTTCGTTCGCTTCCCTACTCCGGCAAACCGTGGGTTCATTGTTACTGAATTACGCACACGTTGGACACCTACATCACTGGTATAGTGTCGTCTCTACGCTGTACAACCCATATAAGCCGCTCTTTTTTACATTCCTGTTTTGGATTGTGTAACTTTGATTTGTCTTACACTCGAAACTAGAGCAGGGTGATACCTCCCCTCGCGACTGTGGATTAGCCCTTTGTGTCTCACCTCCGACCAGCGGACCAACATCAGCAAATCGATATTACAAATTTTCTGATGTATCAGATTATCACAAATTGAGTCAACGGGAAAATTAACAGCCCACAACGTTTCCAATACGGGAAAGCTCCCTTCTGACTTCAAGATAACAACATTCGATTGAACAGAACCATAATAAGGTATGGCACATCAAATCCTTGACAAAATATCCCAATCGCAATTTATACACAGAACATGTATCGGTCGTATGGAATACCAAGGGCCAGTCCATCCAAAGGACCCAATCTGTCGGGAAAGTATCCTTATAGCTACGCTTACATACTTATATACCTTATATACGGAGCAGCAGTGATTGACAGCTCTCCACCTATACCAATAAGAACATTCCATAAAAGTCAATTATTGACTGGCCGTAACTCGGTGTTATGATGATACTACGGTGCTAACAGGCGACCAGCTGAGGATGAGGAGGCAGGTTTAATACCCACCTGACTACTGCACAAGAACAACAAAAGCTGATTAGCACGGGCTCGGGGATGTCTATATATGGATCGCACGTGTCTATCTCCACAGGAGACTACGGACAGTGTCGCACATATTTGTGATTTTTACACACACTGATATTTGTGTAAACCTGTATTTATGTATATGCATCTTGGCATACAATTAATTTGGTTAATACTAGCAACTAATATGTCATAATACAATATACATTATTTATACGTATAGCTTGGATACATTGCTGGAAACATTGTTTGTATACCAGGTGTTTAAGCATATTTTGTATACATACCATGTATACATGTTTTGGATACTTCGCTTGCATACATAGCTTGGATACATTGCTTGTATACCAAGTGTTAAAGCATAGCTTGAATTCATTGTTCTAAACGATTGCTTGATACATTGTATGGGATTTCCTAAATGACAAATATTTATCTATATTATTAACGCAAATTTTGATTTAATCAAATATATACAGGTTTCTCTTACCTTATATGGGTATCAAGCAGATGACAATAGAAACATAGCCAGTTTCATCAAATCCAATTATAAAGTACAACCATGAAATGTTGCAAAATGTAAAATATTGTAGTGGGAAAGCATTTTTGGAACAATCAACTTGTAGAGGCAAATTGTGTGTGCAAGGTTCATCTTCAAAGAGGTAAGGAAGTAGATTCTGCTGATGGATATTTAGTTGTCCGGAGTTTACCGTAACCTTAATGGCCACAATTAGTTCTTTTGAATAGTTGCACGGTTCCTAATATACATACCATACTCACTCATAATTAAAGAATAAGCAGCGGTCCTGTACTTTATTGAAATCATATAATTCAGGGGTTAAACGAACCTCCCTTCCGTCTCAACAGTATTTCATGTCAACTCGGACCTTTTTTGTCCCTATAAACACAGATGTGTACTAAAAGGACGAAGGGCAAAATAAGTGCAATTAATTTTGGTATATTGTGTCTGTTACCAAATGTTATAGGTGCAATTTTACGTGTATATCTTACATTGTACTTCCATTTCCTGAATTAAGGATCTAGATGATAAAACCAAAAGGATTCCGCAGGCAGGAACACCACGAGTGTATTAGTAGTCAATATTTTAGTGAGATAAAGCATTCAAAATCGTTTTTCGTAGTCCTCTGTAAGGTGCTTCTCCCAGCTGAAATGTGAAAATGCTAAAAACCATTTCACAAGCTGTCAAATGTTTATTAATCGATCATGCGTATTTCCTTTTCCACCCCGCGTCTTCCGTCTCTAATAGGAAATATTTCCTCGACACGTTGATGTCAAATACAAGGATGCTATTCAGTCTCGTAAACTGCACAGACAAGGGGCTCATTCAGTCATTAAATTTGACTCAAATCGGAAGTGGATTCGATAGAGCGACCAGATTGTCAGTGGGAAATGAGAAACAGCGCCTTGACAGAAGATAGTGAGCGTCATCATTGTATTTAGGCATATAGGTATATAAGTACACAACTAACATCATATTTAGCGCAGTATACACGCAAGCACGTATGATGGGTGATATGTCAACAAAATCTTCAACAGCAACATTATCGTTGTTTCCAGTGCTGGCCAGATAAAAACATTATCGTTGTTTCCAGTGCTGGCCAGATTCAATATAACATGAACACGAGGGTTAGATTCTATTTATTATATAATTCGAGAAACCTACCTTCATAAGTGGTTTCAATACTAACGTCTCTATATGCAATGACGACGAGAAAGGACGCATCACATATACTAATTTGAGAGCATGTTCCGCTAACAAAAGTAGTCCGCAGAATTTTATCAGAATAATAAATGGCCAACAGTTTTACTTTTAACGATCATTTTAATTGTGATAACAATTGAAATAATAAAAGTTTACAAAATATGACTTCTTTTTTTTCGCTTCGGAAAAAAACTGTTTTTTTT